GGGAGAAATGGTCAAATAGCGTCACTTCAGTTTTTTACCCAGTCTTCATCAAATCTTGGCCACTTTTTTCCAACCAGTATGAAATATTAAATACATTAATTTTATTTGGATTCAATGAACAATATCAGAAATGTTTTTGACATTCATTTTATTTAAGTTGGGGCAATTGTCCCAGATCTAAAGTATCATCCAGATGAAGTATTTTCGTAAAAATTCCCTACAGTCTTAGAAGAAGAAAACAATCTTATATGACAGACTCATAAACAGAATTAAAAAATGACCAAAAAAATTTCATTAAATCTATCACTTCTGCAAAAATGCTAAACAATCCACGTCAATGAACCTTAACAAAATTTTAACGCTAAATTTTCTTAACGCTAACAAAATTAACAATATCGTGAAAAAGACATTTATTGTTAATTCTGAGTATAGTACAAACTTAAAAAAGCAATGGACTTTAAACAATTAAATCATGAAGTAATTGCTTGCCCACTTCTCAGCGGTAAATTACCATCTAATTAGAAAATCCGGTAACTTTCTCGAGAAATGGCGGTAGCTTCCTGAATGAACTTCGCCCAGAGACATTTCGTTTGACTCTTTCAACAGTCGAATACGGCATTTCGAAGATATGACGAGAAAACCTGAAGAAATCCGGTAACGATCGCCAATAATACCATTTTGCGCGAACCAGTTTGCCTCTATCGTTTTCCAGACATGGAGGAAAATCGCGATCGCGGCGACGACTGTGAGAAAGTCAGCCGTGAAAATAATTAACATGTATCGTGTTTCGTATCGAACGTCTTGACGTAATACGTTCAGAAATAAGGAAAAAAGAGAATAGGAATTTATGGTCATCGTTTCGTTACGGGCCTAAACCCGCTTGCGCTTTCTAACGAAGCCACAGAAATCGCTGTAATCACTGACCTCTATACCGTATGGTGATTGTAGACAAAATTATGTACATGTTAGTTTTCAGCGGAGTCGAAATGGATAGAAAGTTGATTAGATTCAATGGAAATTTTACGAGATGATAATAAGTGTGCTAAGAGATGCCTTTTGACTTTAATGTGGATATATTATCATTTTTCTTGTACTTTATATTGGGCTGTTCGGAAAATTTGCGTCGATTTTAAGTAAATAAGTAAATTCTGTATTTAAAGTAATAATTTCTATATTCTACAAGATATGTACCGTTTTGTTCCACAACTTTTCACCGTCGTTCCGGCAATTCGAAAGTTCCATTTTGCCAAAAACTTCGGTTTTATTTTCACGAAAATCTTGTAATTTCCATATTTAAACTTTGCGAATCATTTGCGAACAATTTTTTCCGATAGACTACCTTCTCCTTAAATATTGCATACTTCATTTGCTGTTTCAGTGGTATCTACTTTTTCCTTTAACCAGTTAACTGCGTTCGACGTGTATACACGTCAATCCAAAACTTTATTTCGGTGGGGTTGACGTGTATACTCGTGGTATAAAATAAAAAAACACCATTTACTATAAAAACTCCAAATTTCAATAAGAAGTAATAAAAATGTCATTTGGCGGTATGTTTCCTTTACATTAAATCAACCGGATCTCTTAAGATTATTTTTCTTCTTTAATTTTTCTTGTTTATGAATTTTATTATTTTGTGACGATTTTTAAGTTTTCAATAATAATATCCTTTTCAACAATGAATTGTTAATTTTTTATCGAATAAAAGTGTAATCCTTCCCCGTTTTGCTTTACTTCTTTCGTCAAGTTTATAATAGGAGCATTTGCCCTGCGTTCGACGTGTGTACCCGTGAGGGATTTTTAAAACTAAATTCCGCAATTAACTGGTTAAAAGAAAAATATTAAGCGTGGTTAATGGGTCAATCGGAAACACTTTTCTGGTATAACATGGTGCAAAATGAGCTTTAAGATGATTACAGTAAATTTTTTAGCAACACATTATTTTCGGAGTTTTCAAGATCACCTTCAGTTTCTTATAGACAAACCTATAATTTGCTTACACCTGTCTTTTAGCGGATATTGAGACAAATTCGGCAAGTATCGTAACAAATATGTAAAAGAATTATAGGTTCATCTATAAAAAACTGAATGTAACCTTGAAAACTCCGAAAAAAACGAATTGATGAGAAATTTATTATAATCATCTTAAAGCTCTCTTTGAACAATGCTATACCACAAAAATATTTTCGATCGGCCCACTAAGAATAGAATAATTTAAATTGACCACGTTTCGTGGTTCACCCTGTATAACTTCGATAAGAAATTAAATAGTAAATAATTGTTACGAATAGACTTTCAAAAGACAGGACGCGAAAAAGTAATTTTTCAGAATGTATACGTACTTTATATGTTTTCATCGAATTTTATTTGTCTTAACATTCCGGACAACCTAATACTTTATTATTATTATAAGCGTAAATACTTATAATACATTATGTACAATATTTATATGAAACTTAGAGTTGAAGCTGAAGTTAACAGATAGGTCAATGACTTCATCGCCTCAGAGCGCAAAGCATTTTTCACCGCAAACATTTTGAATGAAATTATTGTACCGTTCCTTTTATTATATTAATAAATACATCTTCGAAGAAAACCGCGGGAACTTATTTATACACCTAATACAAATTCTAGTGTCTGATTGTGAGTTAAAGGTGATGGAAGTTTGGCAACAGCGCGGAATTTCCTCCAGGTTGTGACTTTTCGATCTCTTGACCTTTGCGACTAATTTCTGATTCGCCCTTCGGAAACTTCCACTTCTTAATACATACATACATCTTCAGGCTATTGAATTTTTAAAAAGTCTAAGCTATAAATTTCAACTTCCCTATCTAAGACATATTCTAATCCTCTAAATGCGTTCTAGCAATAAGTTAAGAATTCTAAACTCAAAAATAGTCTTTTACCGCATCGTAAACTGTTGTATTAACAATAAGGTTCGGTTTATTTTATTCGATCAGGTTGGTGCACGTGAATTTTTAAAAAAGTAAAACTTATAAGATGCATTGTGTTTCTTCAAAAAATAAAGCTATCAAATAGAAAATTATTTCCACACGATATTATATACTTTTCTCCACGATTAACTAATTTCATTACTCCAAATTTATAAAAATCTTTAACGCTGCTATTGCAGTGTCTTCATTTAAAAATAATTTATTTGTTAAACAAATTGTTCGGGTGTTTGAAGAAATGTTGGAGAAAGATCTAGTGAGGATGTTCTTTACCGTGGATTATTTTCAATAATTTTTCTTGAATCGTTACCATCGACGACCCTATCTGACCTTCTTCTTGGCTCATTTCCAATGAAAAGTCACCAACCTTGGATTTTACCCACCAACGTTCAAGTGTCTTAACACTTACGTAACCCTCTTCAAATGGTAAATTGATATTTTTAGCAGTTTCCGCAAGTTTAAATTTATGCAAAAAAATTAGGCACCTATGTCGATTATACTTCACGTCAGATAATAATGTCCAAACAATTGTATTACGAATCTTTTTACAATTCAATACACGTGTCCTCCAGCAAATTCCTTCTTCCTGACTATTATGTATAAATATTTATGATCCGACAAAATTTAATATATGATAACAACCCGCCAATCTTAGCTGTTGAAAGAACGACGTTTCGTTTTCACCGATATAATACATTATTATTAGGTTTGGAATTAATTTGTATGCTTGAATAATTATTATCACTCCACACAGAAAGTAATTCGTTAATCTATTTTTACAAATTGAACACAAGAATTTAAAGTTCATGCACTGGAAACATTTAAGTGAATCGCTAGATCCTTTCTATGCAAGCATTGAAGTCACCAGCAGTGCTATTACCGACACTGTTTTACCGACGGTTCTCAGCCTCTCCATGAAGTTTACAATTAAATTTTTGCTATATAAAAGTAATACTAAGTGAAATAAATACCGTCAGTAATAATAACAAATAATGAATAATAAATAATAAATAATCTTTGTTAATTATCTTCTCCTACTTTTTTCAAGTCAAACTCATCATAACAAATTAATCAGATACTACTATCTTCATTAAACTCATTCAAAGTCATAGAATTCTTTAGTATACTAAATAACAATTTTTCAATAACACAGACAACCATCATTCAACTGAAACACCTTTCACTATACTTACTGTACACATATCAAATTCAGCACCTAATCGTTCAATTTGACCAACTTTCAGCATACCAAATACCAAATTCTGCGACTTTATCAGCAGCTCAAACTCCAAATTTCTCCACAACTGAGCTATAAATGATAAAAGTGCACCTCAATCAAATTTAATTTGATTTACACTTTAAGCTCAATTTCTTGTATTCTATCAAAAGAAAGTATTATGAAAAAGGTAACCAGTCGGTTACACGTATGGACATTTTTCAAATGTTTTTGCTGGAAAATCGAATTTTAAGAATACCGATTTTTATCGAAGTTATCAAGTGACTATATCTATATTTTCACTGTTTCAACAGCTTGTTACGACGATTATTTCGTAATATTTTCAAATTTTTCGGAAAGATGCGCTAAAGATTAAAAACCAATATTTTTCACTTTTTTAATATCACGAATAAAATAATTAATTAAATGTGCATATAGGCGCTAATTATCGCCACTAGCAAATAGTGCTATCCCATCACTCCACTACTTACACGATCATTCGTCACTTTATCTTCCGGAAGATCGAAATTATTCAAAACCATAAACAAGCAAAAACAAATAAGTTTTTTATCTTTCGGCAATTATATAATAGGATGCTTTTTGGAAAGCAATCGAAGAAAGCCCCCTTAGTTGGGGGACGCGAGGAATCCGTCTGTGGATTCTGTTCTGGTTGTTCGCGTGGAAGCCTCGAAGGCATAGCGGGGGCAATGTCAAGGCCTCGCTATAAGGCCTGGCGCATCCCTGACTGTCGGTCATTCCAAGCGGAGAAATTCGATCGACGCGGACGACGATAGAAAGGAGCCAGAGAGAACCGTTCACACGAACAGCCAAACATGAAAAGTATCTTGTTGGTGTGCGCGTGTGCGTTGCTGACTGGCGTTCAGGCGATAGGCAGGTACAGGGGATTAGAGTTTTTGGAACCTTGCACGAGGAGGGACCGTAATATCGAGGGCTGCCTCGCGAGATCGGCCAACGTCCTCACCGAGCGCTTCCGTCATGGTAAGAAATTGTGTTAGTCGAGTTATCTAGCAAGAAATTGATGGAATTTCTTGCGCTGCGAATCTCTATGCTCCTTTTCACGAGTAATTCAGGTTAACGGAATTTTTCGTGTCAGTTTTTGCCGCTACTATTTAGAAGTTCTGTCGTTTTTTGAAGTAACAGAAGTTGATATTTCTTCTTGTGGCAGTTTTTGTTATCGATGTTAAACGAGCTAGTGGATTGGTAATTATTTGCTTTATATTTCTGGTAGTGCTTTTAACCGTACTTGAAAAATGTTCACGATGTTTTAAACTTTAGCTTCCTTTCGTAAAATTTCTTGTGTAGACCGACAAATCGGTTTTTGTGTCAAAAAGTAAGTACATTGTACTTAATGATCAAAAAATAAAGGAATTAGATATCGTGCTTATTTCTTTTTAATAAATACATTACACCTTCTTAAAATTTGAGATTAGTTGATAAAGCTTGATAGAATTTTTTACTCTGGTTACCATTTAACATTTTTTCGTTGAAAATTGATCGATTTTCTTCGATAAAAGTTGTTGGTGTTTGAATTGTGCAACAAAGGCTGGTAGAATTTTTTCTGATAGAAAATTGTATCTTTTGTCAACTAATTGCTTCTTAGAAGTCGACAGATACACTGTCATCGCTGTTGCTGTTTCTGTAATCTTTTATTCATCATCATTTAAATGATACAAACCACGTAATTCGAATTCTTCTTTATGTGAAAGCATGCTGTTCATTTGTTTCTTACAATTAATTAGATTAGTTTTGTAGTCGACATATCTTCAAGAAAATAGGTTTCAGAGTGGTAATACTCTCAATTTAATGCTTACAAAGGGCACAGAATTAATTACCTCAAAACTACTGTACAAGGTGTTCAATTTATAAAATGAAAAATTTCTTCTCACCATTTCCTCTTAATTATTCATATTACTGTTTATTCGTACGTACATAATTCACATATGTAATGTTTCGTTTGAAAAACCTACTACAACTACAATTTTTAACTTACGTTAGCTCAAAAACAAATACTGTTCACTGGTTTGAAATTACTTGATACAATTCAGCCTAAAATCTGTCGGGCTCGATTTTATTGGACACCCGGTACGTCGCGGTGACCAAGTTGCAAGTGCACTTGCCCGAGGACGGCACAGTCCCATTTTCTAAAAGTAGAATTCGCGTGTCGACGAGGGAAAAATACGGAAGTCGAAAGTCGGGAATTACAGATCGCGGGAGCACGTGGTGTCGTTGAAACGAGTAAAAAACTTCGCGGCAAAGAAGCAGGTTATAACGGTGTATTCGAATGGTCACCCAGTGTCCTACATTCCACTCACACTATACACGACAGCCTGATGGAATAGGTTTCGTTCACTCAGCCAGATTGAATAAAACATCGCACGAATTCCTGCTATTACAGAATCCATCTTCTTCTCCTTCTACTTTTGACGAATTTTTTTCCCGCCCATTACTTTCGATTATTCTCGGTGAACAGTATGATAATTGGCAAATATATAATGTCTGGGTATTCTGACTGGGAATGCGTTACATTCCTTTCACTGTTTCGTTGGAATACGAAATTTTGGTACGAAGTTAGGAATTTTTATAAATATGAATTTTTACGCGAAATTTTGTTCAAAGGCAGCGTAACGGTGGTGGTTGCTTCTCGTTAAATCAATTTTATCATTGTAAATGATTCTGAAGTGATAAAAGGGAAAATATTCAAATTACTGTTAACCATATGAATGTCTAAGATATAATAAATTTCACATTCTTGAAAGTCAGTGTAACGACGGAGGATGCTCCCTTTGGAAGCAATTTCATTCAATGCTTGTGAAAACAAAAGGAAAGTACTCGAACTTATTCTTAATTGTACAGGGTGTTTATAAAACTTCAGGAGCGCGCAGTATCTACTCATCAAAGCAAGGAAAAAAGTCTTAATAAACGTGGGTCTAAAAACCATTAATTTCGGAGTTACGAGACGCTTCTGTCACTAATTGTAAGATGTTACTTTTACAGCACATTTTCGTTTGAAAATATCACGCGTTGAAAAATCCCCGACATTTCTTCTATCACTTGGCAGGAATTGTCAATACGGTGTTTCAATTCATCCAACGAAGTCACTGTTTTACTGTACACTCTTTTAAATCTAACGATTTTTAGACCCATGTTTATCAAGACTCTTTTACTCGTTTTTATGAGCACTACACGCTCCTGAAGTTCGGCAGCAACTTTTGTACACACCCCGCATAAATATGTAGGCTGTAATAATTTTTGCACCTTACCAATGTGCTTAAAATACATTTCAGACATTTCATTATTTGCACGAAAAATTGCACCTTTTTTTGTCGAACGTATGAGAGTTATTTTTTCTTTCCTTGTATGATAATTAGGTAAATTGGTGTACGTTTATGTATTTAAATAGTGTGATATGGAGGACAGTGCTAATACCTCAGAATATGAGTTTTCAAGCCAAACTGTAAATGAGAAATTGACGAATCTGTTTAAATCGAATTCGTTGAATTTATTAAATGTTGAGATTAATTTGTCAACGTAAAAAGATTTGTGACGTTAAGAAATAAAAGAATGAGAACCATTGCCATCAAATTTTAAGTTATTTCTCAGATAAGTAGTAATTCATGCATAATTTTCCAGCAAGCAGTAATTTATGTTTAAAATAACATTATCCCTACACAAAAATTGGAACAACTTTGTTGAGTTAGAATAGGGAATGTAGTGAGCGGAAGAAAGGATGAGAGGATAGAAGACTGGCTGAGAAAGTTGAAAAATAAAAGGAAGGAGAAAATGGGAAGAAGCGCAATAGGGCGATAAGAAACAGATAGGAAACAGTAGATTGATAAGTAGGATAATAATAAAAGAAATAAGTTAGGAAAAACGAATGAAAGAAATGAGTGAATGAGATGAACGAATGGATGAAGTTGGCAATGTACAGTTAGGATGAATGTAAACCAAGTCTAAATTTCTTGGCTGTAAATCCGAAATAAAGAATATACATAACCTACTACTATACAGGGTGGGCAATGTGAAACAGGTCGCCTAATTATCTTCTCTAGCTGTGGTGGTACGAGAAAATTTTTATATGTAATTTGAATGGTTTCGAAGTTTCACGTTTAATTAAAAATTGTAAAGTCCAAGGTCATTTTAAGGTTATATTACTATGCACGTTTAAATGCACGATAAAACAGAAAAAATGGCATTTATAAAAATATTTTGCTTCCATCTTGTTCACTCCTTAAAACCATTGAATTTATGTGTCTTCTCGTACCACCATAGCTAGAGAAGATAATTAGGTGGCCTGCTTTACAGTTTTGTTCAAACTCAATTTGTTTAAGAATGAAAATCTTTATAAAAGAAACTTATTCTGAACCACTCTATATATTCCTATTCCAATTGCAAATTACTTCGAAATATAAAAATTACCGTCTACAAGAATTTAGTGTTAAATCAGAAGCATTTTAAAATTTCCATAAAAATACAATTATTAATATTGGCATGTTTATATCAGGTTTGCCACAGTTGGGTTATCCAGAAGTGGAGCCAATCATTCTTGACGAACTCCATATTGCGCTTGGCGGAGGATCCGATGGATACAGAGCTCAATTCAAGAACGTCACTGCCAGAGGTGTTTCCACATTACGAGTAACTGGTTTGAGGGCTAGATTATCAGAAGACGAGGTGCAATTGCAGTTGGCCCTTAGCATTCCAAAAATCAGAGCAGCAGCTAAGTACAGGTCCAGTGGCACTCTGATTTTGGTGAAAGCCAGTGGTGCTGGCGATTATTGGGGAGAATATGGTAAGAAAACTATTATTATTATAGCAAACTTTAATCATTTGTAATATTTTGTATTAGAAATATTCTGTAAGTTGCACCAAATCTTTTACCAAAATTCCACTGATACATAAAAGTTCATAGAGGGAGTAAAAAGTGTTCAGCTTGAAAATTTTTCAAATGTAAATGTAAAAAAAATAGAATTTTTCATACCACCACCATCACACTAAATTTATTTATGTATTTTTACGGGGAATAAAATCAGAAATAGTTACAAAGTTCATCTAGGTATGGAAATTGCCAGATAATGGCAGAAAGAATATGTGGAAAATGGAAAGACCTGCTAAAAAGAAAAAAAGAAGGACAAATAATTAAATATAAGAATTATAAATAAATAAAATATCCAACAAATTTGGTTATAAAAGAATTACAATTAGGTAACACCATACACAGACTAAAACTTAAGAATCAATGTTCGTAACAATTTTTGTAGCAATGATGTCACTTTCATAGCTAAATAACGATTAGCCAAGTTGATAACATTTTTCAAACACCCTAAAAACTTTTTTATAATATTAAGGTGTTAATACTTTTTTATAATACAACAATACTGAAATTTGTTATTACCATTATTACTTTACAATTTCACGACTACAATATGAAAGCTGTAGAATACTGAATTGAGACGTACGAAAGGAAGCTCTAAGTGAAATGTACTTGTTGTTAGATTAGCTCAGGATGAAATGTCAATTACTTAGAATTGTGTGACACTGTGCGGGTACCAGGGCATAATTATATTTTGAGAGATAGAGCGAACAGTGTAATAGAACATCACCGGTTC